GTTGAGCACTGGGCTGCGAGGCTGCCCACAACCTCTGTAGCACCGGTTCATTCCCCGGCCGCTGGCGAGGGTCCCACATTAAAAAAAAAAAAAAAAGTGAAAACACTGTGTATAACATAGTGTGATCAGGATGTATTCAATAAGTAGGTTAGATAAAAGGAGTGCTTGCTTGCAATAAGTATTACCAAAGTACTTCAAGAAAATGAATATACACAATAATTTAGAGAAATAGTAGGAATTATTAGAAATATTAGGACATTATTTACTGAAAATAATGATAATTTTTCTTTTTACCTGTGACTGCCACATGATCACTAAGTCTAATTTTTATTTCCTTTTAGATTAAAAGTTTGAATCATTTATATTTTGTGACTTCTTTTTCAAAGCAAATCCTTCCAATCCCACCCCTTTGTTTCCTTTATCCCTTAATAAAATTGCCAGGGAAATCTATTGTCAACTATTTTTATCTGTTTCTTTGGTTCTTTATATATTTATATTTCTTGATTTTTTATTTTAGCAGATGAAGACTTAGCCTTCCTTCTTGAAATACAGCTGTATTAAGTTCTGGGTTGACAGAACAGTACCAAAAGATCAAAAATAAATTCATATACATCAATACTTAAGTCATGACAAAGGTGCCACAACCATGCAGTGGGGAAAGGTGAGACTAACAAATGGTGCTGGGAAAATCGACTGTGAACTAAAATAATAAAATAATAAAAGAAGTGAGATTTAGAAAATAAACAATGAAAGAAAACAATGCATTTTTATTTTGAAAACTCCTTACTTTAATTAGAAAAGGAGTCTGTAGTAATGGGAATTTCCAGAAAGTGACATGAATTTTCTTCAGGAACAAGAATGTCACTGCTGAGTTGTGGGACATTGCTATTCCTCATTGTTCCCCTGGTGCCTATCCCAGTGCCATTAACAACAGGTGCTCAATATTTACCAAGGAGGTGTGAATCTGCTCCTCTGAATCACATAGAGCGTTGTAAATCAATGGCACCTCAATATAAAAAAAAATCAATTAAAAAACCCACTTCCTGTTAAGATATTGAATCAAATCTTGTCTTATTCCTTATCTTCCTAACCTTCCTCTTTAGGTTAGCTTTATTCATGATCTACTTTTATACATGCAATTATTTGAAAACATTTGAGAGTAAAGTCTAGAATATTTCTATAATGGTAGAGGTTTATTTGTTCTGGCCCATTAAAAATGGAAATTGAGTGATTAAATTCAGACTTTCCATATATTACAAAAATGTATGACTTATTAGTGCTATTTTTTTTTTAAAGATTTATTTATCCATACAAGAACCCGGGGGCCGGATGCACAGGAGGGTGAGAGGAGTCATCAGAGACTGAGCAGGGAACAGAACAGGCGGAGTCACCAAAATACACTGCTGAGGGGAGCAGCGGGTGGAACAGGAGAGGTCTGCCATGCCATGAGGGACCTCGCCAGCTGGGATCAAACCTGCACTGCAGAGGCTGCGGATAGCTTCACAGTGCTGGGCTCAACCAGTCTGTACCACTGGTTTTTTAAAGGCATGCAGCCAATTAAATTAAACCTCATACAGACTTGTAACCCTGATGCTTTATAATGCTTCTGAACACAAAATTTAGGAGACTTAAAGAGTCAAACAGTTATATGTAATATTCATGAGTGCTCAATGGCCAAAAACAACATTATTAAAAATGGAATAAAAAAGTGTTGGAAAGGACATGATCTTGAGGGTGTCATTAGAGATTTTTAATGCAAATTGAGAAAATCCTTGCCAGTATAACTGGAACATCTAACTGCTTGGATTTAATTTTTAAGAGAAGTAGTCTTACCTACCCCAACAAATCCATGATTATTTTATCAATCTTTACTAATATCACTCTTTTGGATGGGTTCCAAATAGCTCTCACTTAGATATACTTCTAATTTAATGTAACTACAATTAAATAATGTTTATCATGTATCAAAAATCATACTTAGATGCACTCATATTGTGTACTTCTTTAAATTGTGGACATTCAGCCACTCATTAGTAGAAATGGTCTGTGGTAGTTTTAACAATTTTCTACTACAATTTAGGTCAGAACCTCCAAACCTTGTTTGATTGATCTCACATTTAATGAACTAATTTCATGCTGGGATTAAAATTTATGAGTCACTACTATACAGAAGATGAAACATGATTATAATTAAGTGGAAAATGTGTTCTTTTTATCAGAAGTCAGAATAAGTAGAATTCTGAATAAGTAGACTTGCTCAATAGGTAGAATAGGGACATGGCTAATTAGCATTACAAATTTTAAAAATATTTTCACACAAAATTTCAATTCTGTAAAATATTACTTTTTATATTCTGTTCTCTGTAATTTCAAAACCAGTATTTTTTAATATAAACTGTCTAAAGGTGGTTAATTAAAATCTCTGCTAAATTTTGATTTACAGTATCCTGTTCTAGAACTTTCTTTATAGATCAATTTCTCTTAGAGCAGAACAAGATGTTCATAAAACCAAGTATTTAAATGAGTAGTAGTAAAAGCTCAAAGACTGAAGTAGAACATTGTAAGAAACTACAATGTCAAGAAAACGTTTCTACAATGAGGCATTTTTTCTAGTGGCTTAGTGAAGGATTAAAAAGAAGACAAATCCAATCAGGAAATTAAACAAATTATGTCTAAACACAAATTGAACACTCTGTTCTGTTTGTTTGTAGCCATGATTTGGCTGTTCATGTTGACGGACAGCAGAAGGACGTGAAGGTGGTCCTCTGAATAACTCAAATCACACAAAATATATATCAAATATATACCACAAGAACAACAGGAAGTTGATTCAATATTTCTACATGGAAAATACAAAATCTTGCTGTTAAATTGATGTCTTATCACTTTAGAACAAATAAATTCCTTATAATTTAACATCACCTCTATTCTCCGTATAAGTATTTCTTACTTTTTTCTAAAGTTTTAATATTTATTGTCGTTTCTTCTTCACATTATTAGCAATCTCATGTATATTTTATAGAATTATTCATACCAACTTCATATAGATATGCAAATTATAAACTTGCTTATTGTGAAAATGTCAGAAGTAACTCTGTCAAAAGCAATTTGTCCAGTATATTTCAACCAAAAGGGCACATGATAATAAATGGCTCATATTACATATCATATTCCATCTTGTTCCCATCCTCAACCTCCATCCTTCTGTTCAATAACTAATCTGAGATTCACTGTTGATAAGGGCTAAAACATAAACATATTGACAATAGCTTAAATTAAATATAAATTAGCCAATGATTGTCATCTTGGAAAACAATCATGTTTTGTGTGGGACAAATTTAAAGAAGAAAGCTGCATTACCATGAACACTTTCTATTTATTGAGAGTTGCTAACATTTATATTAAAATAATTTTATTCATAAACTTTAAGATTAAAAAGAAGGTGAAATTAAGTAGCTAGAACTTTAAGTAAACTGAACATGAATTACTTCTCTCTGTACCTGAATTCTAGAGTCATATGAAAATCAATGACCATTACTTTTATATATGATTATACTGTCTATTCACTTTCTGGGCAGTATTGAAGCAACTCTATAGGCAAGGTTTTCTGTAAAGTGTGGGGACATCAATATGAATAAACCACAGCTCTGCTCTGAGTATTGTGCTGCATTATGGAGGAGACAGCATAGAAATAGGTAAATTTAAACCAAAGAGCAATGAACAATATGCAAATTATGGTATGAATAGGCACAAATTTTATGTGTGGTAGAAGGGTGTTGGAGAAAGAGATAAAATTGAAGTGGGTGAATTAAGTTCAGGGCATGTATCACTTGAAGCATATATGGGATCTAACCTGTGTCCCTCCCTGTGTTCTTGGTTATTTCCTTGCTCTCCTCTCAGAGGGGACACTTCCCTGGTTGTCTCCCAGGCTCCTCTGTCAGTTAGTTCTAGCTGGATTTGATTAGTACAGGCAGACTGGAAAATGGAAGCATGGGAGAGGCTGGGATATTTCTCTCCATCCTTGTTTTTTTTTCAAGATATATTTTTGGCACTTGCTGTCCCTCTCCCTTGTCTCTAGCTCCCAGTAAGACAGATTGTCCTTGTTTCACTTCTCACTGGCCTCTTGTCAACAGGGACAGTTGCTCCTTCTGCTACTTCACTATCCCCCGTTTGGTGTCTCAGCTTCTTCCAAGAATATATAATCATTAGCACATAAGATTCCTCCATTTTAAATTTTCAGAGTATTTTTTATTTTACTAGATTGACACAAATACCTGGCAGGCATGAACTATTTGTGTGGGAATTTCAGGGAGTTTGGGTGGTAGATTTGGGACTAATCAACATATAGATGAGGGTTGATGAGTTTATGCAGAGAAAGGGCGGGTAAAAGGGATGGTGGATTGAGGATAGAACTCTGGGGAATATGGGAACGGATGCAGAAAGCAAAGTCTTTGAATGAGTGCAGAGAAAAAAATTTAATAGAATCAGAAAAATGTGGTTATCTAGTTAAGTTCATGTGAAATCTTAGGTATCACCTAAACCTACAATTTTCAGATGACGTTAATGAAGATAGAGCAATTAGGTCACCATTTAGGTAACAGGAACAGACTTGATGTCCATATCTGGGTTTCCTCATTAGTGCTCTTGTGATACCATGTCATTTATTATTGTTCCTGATAGCATGTGATTTGCTATCATAGCATTTTCCTGTATTCAGGTTACTTGCTCCTACTTGTGCGATGTATGTACTTTCAGTGCCTTTTGATGTAAAACCAGCATGTAGGATCATTACTTTCATAATAATTTTAAAAATTAAATGAGATAATGTAAGGAAGATTTCTAGATGAAGTTACAATATCATTCTCAATTAACAGATAACATAAATAATAATGACTCATTTTCTAGTACTTAGAAATTTGCATTCATATTGAAAGAAAAAAGAAATATTCCATGTGTAGCATGTAGTCAACTAAATTCCAGTACTGTATATTTCAACTTACCTTCAGAGTCTGCTAGTCCTGCTCCTACTCCAGGCTGTTTTACAGGATCTTGCCCATTCTGCCCCATCTTCCCTCTAAAAAGAAAAGAAAATGTTATTATTTATTAATGGCATTATATATTCAGACCTGTGATAACTTCCTTGAATGGCAAATATATACACAATTAATTTCTCTATATCATGATGCTCTTAAAATTGGAACTTGTTTATTATTCCTATTTTTTGCCAACATAATACTTCAAATTCTTATTTTGAATATATTAGTCTTTGATTCATTTGTCAAAGATCTGGTCATTTCGGGCCTTGCTGGTGGCTTAAGGGGTTAAGTCTTAGCACTATAAAGTTATCAGCTGCATGAGTTCAATCCCTGGCCAAGGAGGTGACCCACATGGTACAGCATACCTCTCCTCTCTGGCCCGCTGCTCCCCTCAGCAGTGTATTTCAGTCAATCGGCCTCTTCTGCTCCCCATTCTGTCTCTGGTGTATCCTCTCACTCTCCTGCAACTCTGGCCTACACCCCAGTTCTTGTATGCATAAATAAATATTTTTTTAAAAAGATCAATCATCACAAAATTTTCAGTTTATTTTTTAGAATCATAGAGTTCTTTTCTCTGTTTTTAATTCAAGAAGAATAGTTTTTATATCTTCAGACTTTGCTATGCTGAGTTGTAACAGATGCTTTTGTGAAAAGCGGATTTTTGAATCATTTAAAACAATAGAATCTTAGTAACAGATTTTTATTTCACTTGATGACTTTCTTGAAGATCCTTCATCTGTTTCAGCTGGGCACAGAAGCTGGCTTTTGAAGTTAGTCTGCCTGGTCTCTGCTTTTGAATTTGCTTTCATGCTATGTATAATCTAAAGCAAATCAACTTAATCTGGTGAAGATTATTTCTTCTTTTGTAATAGAAGAATAGTAACATTAGCTGCCTTTCGCTTATGAAAAATCACATGGAAAATGTTTATAAAGTGCTTAAAACAGCGCTTGAAACATAAAATTCAATAACTATAAAGTATTAATCTGTAGCTATGCACATAAGAGTGTTAGAATTCAGCTATAGTTTGTTATTCACTTGTAGAATCAGCCTCAAAGTTTTGGAAGGCCAACTAAATGAAGAGTTCACATTTTGAGCACTGTGGGTTCAGAGTATCGATAATATAACAGTGAAAAAACTGTAGGATATATCTTATTTCTCTAGTGAGAAGAAAACCTATATGACATACAAGAGATTTTTGGAATTGTTTTTATATGTACTTCTACAAAATGTTATGAAGAGGTGGAATAAAAATACTTGTTAAAAAGGGAACTTGTTTTTTTTTAATTTTAATTTTAATTTTTATTTATATATTTTTTACATCATTGTTCATTTCTAAACAATGTTTGCTTGAATACAAATAATGAACAATGATGTAAAAATAAAAGTTTTTTTTAAAAGGGAACTTGAACAAAAGAAAATCTTGATACTATATTTTCTAAAAAAATAATTCTAACCTATTTTACTAACATTTAATTCTTACATTGACAAAGTTTTTTGATTTGCTGGATCTACTGAAACAGTAAGTATACTTATTTCTTAAAAATCCAATTGTTACTTACTTGAAAACATCTCTAAAAGTCCTCTTCTTTACTTTAATGGTTATACATTAATGAATGAGGAATGGATGCAAATTCAGAAATTTTATTTTGAAGGTTATTAGACTGTACCATTATGGCAATTCTAGGTCATAGGTTTAAACCCAAATTTTTATGAAGTGATTATGTGAGGGACCAAATGCATTAAAAATGAGAGAAATTACATAGACAGATACATATCAAGTCTTATGTATATATTCAGACAAGATTATATATATACATACATACATATATATATATATATAGATAGATGGAGACTATATATATGTATATAAAACACATACACATACATAATATACACACACACAAAACCAGAATCCTAACTAAGCAATGAACAAAACCTCAGTTTGTGTAATTTCTTCAATGAGATTCAAAACAAGCAGCTCATAAGTTAGAAAGAATTAACTCTGCTGTCTCTTGCTATTAGACAGAGAGGCCATCTAAAGTCATCAGCAATCCCTCCTTTGTAGTGCACTATTCTGATAATTTAACCAAATTATATATCTTGTCACTAAGCCAAACTCAACTGAAAGTGGACATCATTTTAGTAGTGTTAATCTAGCAGATGAGAGTATTAAAAAGTTACTACCTTGTACTATTTTAAACTTTTACAAATAATTATGTCTTGGTAATTATAATAAAAATAAATTTTTGATAATTTTGGATTTGATAATTTTGGGTTTGACTTCCAGATTTCATATTTTAATGGTGATATTCAACTGCAGGTTTTGCTTCTAAGGAACACTGATTTTAGTGTTAGGTACTCAGCCAAAACATGTATTATGTACATTTCTAAGATTATGTAGAAAACTTTTGCAGCATTTTGCAGTGAAGCTAAACAAAGCACGTAGGAAATGTAACTGTGAGTCGTGCAAAGAATGCAATTTTTCTAAACATCCAATAAATAATCTTTATTTCAGAACATTCTGACCACACAGTTTATAATTTGTATTTGTTATTCTGGGATCAAAAGGAAAGATTTATGAAAGCCTTGACATCAAAACAAGGAACTAAAAGTTCCAAGCCCAGAGAGGACTTCATATACATTGGAGAAATGAAAAGGACCCTTTAATGAGGGTACTGACCAGGGGTCTGCAAACTCTTTCTGTAAAGAGCCAGATAGTAAGTAATTTAAATAGTTTCTGCTGGAAGGACTCAGATCTGCTCCTATAGGAGAAATAGCATTTAGCAACATATAAGTAAAGTTCCATCAAAACTTTATGTATACTGAAATTTCTATTTCATATAATTTTCATGTGTCATAAAATGCTATTTTTCTGTTTTTCCCTATTTAAACATTGCAGAACATGAAAGCAATTTTAGCTTTCAGGCCTCATAAAATTTGGTGGCAGTCTGGGTTTGCCTTGGCTAGACCCTGGAGCTGGTTGGCCCAGGGTGTTCTTGAGAACCCGGAAAATGATTTAATCGAGAGGAGAAGGAAAGGTCAGGATAGTGTAGATTTTAATATTGGAACAAAAATAGCCTACATATTTACCTTGGATATTGTTAAATTTTGCCACCATATAACTAAACCCATACTAACATAATCTAAACATAATTTTGCTTTAGATTTGTAACTTGATTTTTTTCAAGGATTTCCATATTACAATCAAACTTCAAGATTACCTGCTCAGGGGCAATTGTACTACTTGATATTTGTTCTAGAAAATATGGAAACACTTCAAAATCTTCTATGTAAATTGCAGTGACATTTATAGTTGAAAAGTCTATATGAGTAACCCAATGTGTCACCCACTTAAAATACAACATATCAGTTCTTTAAATTTGTTTAAATGTATCCTGGTTCAGAGTAAATTATTCTGTTCATTGCAAATACTAATAATGCTTGTGTTTGGCCATTATGTGATTAAAGCATCAATGTACTACTGCTCCTGAGCTGATTCAGACATGACTTATTACTTTAGTGGGTTTAATATTAAATAGAGTTTGCAGTGATTAAGGAGTCCTGATAATAGCCATGTTTCATCCTTAAAATTCACTAAATTAATCCAATCATTCCTGAATAGTCTTTTAATGTAGATATAGATAGCTGAAGTGCTTTGGGGACAATGACTCAGAATTGGTAATTATCTAGTTATTTCCTGTTAAAAGTTAAGAAAAGCTTACTCATGATGCTGCTAACTTTGTAGTGGAAAAAAAAAAAAGAACCACTTACATCCTTGGAATAGGAAATAGATTAGTCTCCCCTGCAGTGCTGCTGCTTCCTTCACTGTCCACGCTATACCCACTGCCAAAGCTGCTACCAGAGGAGCCTGTGGACACGGAGCTTTCTGCAGGCCGGTGATTGGTGGGCTTTGCTGCATGGTGTGGGAAGAGTCAACACCACAGTCAATAAATGAAACTCCCATTGCTCTCCAAATGCATAATTATACGTTTTCTTCATTGACATGTATAAAGAACAGTTCTAGCAAGAAATCCACATTTCTTAACCTGCTTTTCATTTTGATTCCTTAACCAATTATTATGCGTATGCACCACTAAAATATTTCACTGTTTTTATTGGACAGAAAGGAAAAATGATCACAACCAAGGAAAAATCTTTAGACTTTCAGGCTGTTACATAGTATGTAACTATCCATCTATTCTTACTGCTGTTATTTTTAGTGGCTAATTTGTACTTTGTTGCATTAATGATATGGCAAAAGAATAAGAATTTTGACTACTTCATGGAAAAATGAGTTTAGAAAGACTTGGGTAGATAAAAATAGCAGGATATATGAGAACATTGCTTAATTAAATTGTACATTAATAACCGATAATATTTTTCTTCTGAGAGGTGAAATACAAACTGGAATAATTTCAAAGGATAATTGAAAGTCCTGGCCTTGTTTATATATAGCTCTGTCTAGACCTACAACTTTTTAGCATTTGAATATATTTTTTTCCCATAGGCATTTCCTAGTTTATGACTGGAACTTATTTTCATTATTTAGATTTTTTGGGAGTATAAGGAGCCATTTTTTCATGGAAAGATTATAAATTTGCGCTGTAAATTATGCAGTAGGAGTATAATACTGAAATTGGAAGCGAAGTTCTAGATTAGACATTTGGGAGGAACTTAGGATGCAGAAAGAAGAGAGAAGGCTAGTGTTTCCTCTTATTCTGTGTAAGAAAATCTTCTCTAGGCAAATTTTTGAAAGCGTTATTTGAATTGTCACATGGTCCGGATTTAACAGCTCAGACTTTGAACATATTGATCTGGTTTTGCATCCCAGTTCTTTCTACAATAACTCTAAAATGTCTGTTTCAAATTGCCTCATTTGAAAATAATGGGGTTGGTAATGCCTACCTGATGACACTGTGACTCTGAGGAATGAGGTAAAGCAAGATTCCATTAACCCATTCTTCTTTGTCTTGTGATAGTCTTTCCCACACCCCGAACCTCTTATGTAGGGTTTTCCTCTCCACAGTTGTGCCCTACAACCTTGAAGCGTGTCTAGTGCTGACAGTAAATATGCCTCAATACTCTTCTAGTTCTAGACACATCTAGGCTTCAAAACTACATAGATGATTCTCCACACACAGATCTCTGTCCAATCAGGGGTTTCTTGGGCAGCTGCAGAGATTCACATACTGGGGGAATGATTGATAATCAAATATAATGATCCTGAGATACCTACACTTTCTCTTGGGGAGATGCATACAAATACAGTAACTCTTAGCCTGATGAAATTTGAACCAGCATAACCAAAGGAAGTGAAAATTACATACATTGTGAAAGAAACCATTGAGGACAGGAAACCCACCATCTGGGTAGTCAGGGTCAGGTCTTGTAAAGGTTTTCGTTTTTGCCCACTTCTCCCTTTATTCTGTTTCAAGACAAAGCTTCTCTAAGACTATAGGATGTCACATCTATTTCAGTTATAGTAGGATCCTTTTCCCAGAATAGGGGAATTAGGGAGAAATATTTATTAGTCAATTTTTATCATGTATCACATAATTTGGGAAAAGTTATTTTTAAAAAGCCTGTTAAATAACTAGTCTCCAATAGATGGCTAGTTCCCATACAGCTGTATTTATGGAAACAGAGTGATAGTTATAAAATATGGTTAATATTTTCTTCAAGCTATGTAGAAGAAACTCAGATGGTGCATTTAGTGTTAAAGAAAAAGCACTTCAAAAAAACCTAAAAAAATAAAGTAATAGGATTACCAAATTATGAACATGTGTAAACTGTGTAGTTAACCACATAATGAGTCAGATTTTAGTCAACTGATTGTAAACAAAAGAAAGCAGTCATACTTTTTGATTAACATTACATAGTCCAAATAACAAGATTGCTAGTATTTTTTAGTACGATATTGAAAACTTAAACTACATCAACTTGAAAATCTGAATATACCATTTTCAAAGATGAACCTTAATATGAACTAATTTTTAAATCAAATTATCTTTACTAAACTAAAACACTTTCATACAAAAGCAGTTTCACAATGTATCAAAATAATTATTTTATAGAATTGATGCCGTATTTACACTTTAAAATATTCAATCTTTTCTTTAGTGAACTTTGATTTTACCTGATGCATTTGTTAATTCTATTCCTCTTGTGGGAAATTTGGGATGTGTGCAGAATGTAAAACAACAGTAAAAAGGAACAAGACTGGAAATAAATTTAAGGAAATACTGTCTTTTTCATCTTGTCTAGTGAACAGAAGTCTCATTTGAAAAGCTTGTACAAATCTTGTCAATATTTTAAATGCAAACAAAATTTTATAATAAAATAAGAACATCAAATATAAGGAACATGTACATATACTGGAATAAGTGTAAATTTATATAATGTTTTTGCAAAACAAAATTACATATATGCTTGAATCTAAAGACATTTGGGGCCATTAGAAGTAGATAATACAAATGAATCTAGATGTTTGGCATTATCTTAATAAAGTATCTGGTGCTTGATTGATTTTTTTATTCTCAATCTGGTATGTAACTGTAGGACAGAGATAAATAGGTTGATACTTTGTTAGTATCCGAAAAGGAATTCAATTAAAATCCAGAATTTACCTTCCCTGTTTACAGGTCTGTATCTACACAGCACAAAATGCAGTTAAACATACAGAAATGCAGAGGTTTTGATAAGTTGCTGCTAAATATCCACATATTTTGATAGTTCTTTTTCAGACACTTAAAACATGTATACTATTTTCTAGTGTCTTTCTATTGAATCAGTATGCTCCCCCTCAACCCCCCTACACACACACACACACACACACACACACACACACACACACACACAAAGAAAGCATCAGTTCCATTAAATGGTGCTAAATTAATGATTTTTTTCATGAAAAAAGTGCTTTTAGGGCTTAATAGCTGAGATTAGATTTTTAGTAATTTCAGAACATCTTAAGATTTCAGTCGAATTCTCTAGTTGCTTCTCGAAGCCCTTTATCCTTGGCTCCTTTCCAAATGTACCTCTCATTGCTCCTCTATGTATGTTTTACATTGAAGCCCACTTGGCCCATTCACTCTGACTCCCTTTGGCTTGTCTTTCTGTGCCTTGAACATTAATTTCTGTCACTCCTGTTTTGTGCTGCCTTCCTCTGCTCCAGTCACTTTCTCCTTTCTAATTTGTACTTATCAGTAAAGGCCCAGCTCAAACTGTATCTGTTTTATGTACTTCCTAATTCTCTGAGGCAAAAATGAACTCTCCTGTAGCTGGATTCTCATAGCACCTAATCTGTACATCTTTTGTGGCAATCACCTTTTCTCTCTTTGATTGTAGGTGATACATGCACGTCACTGATGGAAGCAGAACTTGTGTTCTGCTTAAAAGCATGGAACTATGCTGAAGAAATATTTAATGAAATAATAACAGTTTTTTCCTTTACTAAAGCAACTAAAACATCTGAATGATTTAGTGCATATTTCACTTTTTATCCAATTGTGTGTTTTATACAAACCACAAATCTTTCATCAGAAACAGCATTTGATATGGGAATCTGTTTCTCATATTCTTTGTCAAGGACACTTTGGATAATCCAAGTTTTTGTAGCTTTTAAAATTAGAGATGCAACTTTAATCTTTCATACTGTAGGGAAAAATGTGGTCACTTAACTAGATGTCTTGTTATTCCAACCTTCCCAAAATTGGTTTCACTAAAAGAAATATTTTATCATAATACACTAAACATGGGAGAGTAGAGCTTGTAAATATCACAAAAGAGAAACATTCATAAAACACCATGAATATTATATACATATATTTAAATTGGAATGACCGAAAAAAAAAAAAAAAAAAATCTGGAGAGTAACTTCTATAGTAACCACCAGAGGGCACTATTATAGAGTCTAGTAAACTAAAGTCAATACAAGATACAAGTACTTTTGCAAAAACAGTTGGTGAGTCCTAATTTATATTTAAGTCTAATTTCTATGTCTTCTATATTATTCGAGGAAATAACATTTTAGGACATTAAAACTATATATGGCTTTCTGTAACTCTGATTTCAAAATTAACAATTTAAAGATATTCTACTGCTTTATTCTTCCTATTTACTTTATCAGTCTCAGCAATCATGGGTGTATTATGCATGACTATATTATGTACCTGTGTACTATATATTAGAAATACCTATTTTCCAAAGGATTGAGGCTTATTTAATAATAAAATATATTTTGGCAATCATTACTTTATGAGTTACTTTTTTGTGTATTTTCTTTTTGAATTCCTATTTGTATTATCAAATGCTAAAAACAAACATATCACATGAATATATGATAATCCCACTCCTATGAAGAGAATTCCTAGATGTATAAATCCTAGAGTATTAAATTACTTTTGTGAATCAACTGTTGAGCAGCATTTCAGGTAAACAATTTTTATCTTCTGAGAGGCAATTTAATCTGTTTTCAATCATTCTCTGACCTACCCATATTATTTAGTGGCTAGATGGTCAGCCATAATTTTGTTTCATTACTCCACTGTGGCTAACCTTAATTAAACCTGTTACTGTCTTTTCCACGAACATCTGTCCAATTAGTTTGCTCTGTTGTTTTTTTCCTTCCACTGTACTGAAAATGCATGACTGTCACTTCATCCACCGCACGATGGCAGCACTGTGTGCAAAGTCCGTGGATCAGAATCCTACACACTTGTGGAATCACGCAATTTAGAAGCAGGTAAGGATTCCAAAGATAATCTGCTCTAAATCTATCAGTTTACCTATAGAAAAACTAACCTCTGGAAAGATAAGTGAGTTGTTTCAGATCATACATTAATGAATGTGAGAAAGAATCAAAACTAAAACATGCTGATATACTCATCTACCAGAATTCAGTTGCTGCCCATG